AGGGTAGGGTAGGGAGGTGTCGAGAGACGTGTTGGTAGTGTCGTACGGTAGGTAGTAGTAAGTAGTAGTAGTAAAGAACATAGTCTCTTAGTAGAGTCTACTCTCTCTCTCTCTCTCTCTCTCTCTCTCTCTCTCTCTTATGAGCCTTTAATCAAAAGCTTTCGGTGATTGTCCTGAGGGTTGAGCTTTTTAGCGCACTTGCGGCTTGGGGGTCTTGGTTGCAAGGCACTTCAAGTGACTGAGGTATCTCTCTCTCTCTCTCTCTAGCTTCTCCAAGTACTTGCTGTCGACTCTGTGCTTCCTTTTTCTTTTTTTCCCCATTTTTTTTAGTTTGCTCCTTCATTGTTCTCTTTGTTGGTGGTTCTTTATTCTCTGTCTGCAGTTTTCTCTTGTATCAGTCTTTTTTTTCCCCCTGCCCACAAGCTTGAGTTTGTGAGGCGAGAGCGCACTTGTGGAGCAAGTTTCCAATTGTAACATATGCGGCTAATTTTGGTATTATGATAATCGTCTTCGGTTTTTATAAAGGATCTCTCTCTGTCACCCCCAACTCCTTTTGTATGGCTAGAACCATGTAGTTCTTGTGGGTTTAGCCGTGAATTGGTATTGTGTGCTTGCAAGTTTCTTGAAAAATCTTTGAATGGTATTTTATCCTGAAAAACACGTGCAAAGTTGCAACCTATGGAGCTCGCTTGGATTGGAGGCACTGTGAAATTTATGAATGTTTAAAATTTGCAGGTTTTCATAGTCAATAATTTCTGACTTGTAATGTCTTCTCTTGGTGAATTGAGTTGGGAGTTTCTAGATTGTTTCCAAGCTGTTATTTTCACTTCCATTATTTGGTGATCGAATAGATTCTTATTAAATCTTTGTTGGGCATACCACAAATAAATTTAAGTTTTTTTTGGCTTTCATAATGTCTTATTCATTTAAAACAGGTACGAAATGCTCATTACACATGGATCTACCTTCTTTTTTCTCACCCAAAGATAGCTGTTGATGGATACGTAACATCGATCGGTTGGCATGGGTTTTTTTTCGTGGCAGAAACTATGGGTATTTTTGGTACATGTGAATATTTTTGTGAAAGTATTTTCATATGAAAGAATTCTTTCATGTTATTTTTTCACACTAATTGGTGTAAAAAACCTTCCAGATCACTTTGGGAGTCTTTCATATGAAAATATTTTCATGAAAATAGTTTCACGAGCAGCAAACATGCCCTAAATTAGCGGCCATAGGTTTTTTATCGAAGAAATTTGACTTGCGCAAAGAGGGTTAAAGGGCCATGTCAAAACCTAAGGTAACAAAGATTATTACAGCTGATTTCGGTTATATGACCTCCGTTTTTAAACATAATCTTCAAACTGAAGCTTCCCCACATTGTAATCTGCAACCACACGCTCCTTCGATTTAGAGATGGAGGGAGGTTAAAAAAGATTAATGTCGATTTAGAGATGGAGGGAGGTTAAAAAGATTAATGTGTGTGTGAGAGAGAGAGAGAGAGAGAGAGAGAGAGAGAGAGAGTAGA